TCTCTCTCTCTCAAATAAATAAATAAAAATCTTTAAAAAAAAAAGATTATAGTTTATAATGACTTCAGTGTTCCTGTTTTGTCTTCCATTTGTTTCATTGGGAGGGGGCTTTTCTGATAATGTTGACTTGCAGTATTTGTGCACATTTCATTGGCCTGCTTCTCTTGTATATGTGAGCAGTGTTATTTCTTATGTGCTATACAAATAGTTGAAGGTTAATTAGCAGTATAACTAAATAGTAATGCTGCCAGTCTCCTTCAGACAAATAAGTTTATTGAAAGCGTTCAGATCAGTTAGGTAAGTAGCAGGTCTTTATCCGCAAATATGTGGCCATTCAGGGCTTTTTGTTTTATAGAACTAGGATTTGAAAGGCTTATGCTTCTGAGGAATGGTATAATGTGATGGTTCAAAGCATAGCATTTGGGGTTGATAGCCTTGAATTGGAATTCCAGATTCAGCAATGTAGTGTTGACACTCTGAGCTTCAGTTTCTTTTCTCTGAGAAATGGACATCATTTCTACTTCTCATACTTGTGTAAGACTGCACAAAAAAATGCTGAATAAATGATAGCTGTTGTTACTAACCTTGTGTTTCTTATGCAGGTGGCACAAATTTATCAGAGCATTGAGTTTTCTCGTTTGACTTCTCTGGTTCCTTTTGTTGATGCTTTCCAACTGGAACGGGCTATAGTAGATGCAGCGAGGCACTGTGACCTGCAGGTATGTGCCAGAAGGGACACTGAGGTGGAAGGCCTTTAAGAACTAAAAAACACATATTATGTCCTTTGTTGCTCAGCTTTTGGTTTAGTGGCACCATTTTAAAGTTGTACTGATTGAATCTTCTGGTTTTTGTATTTAACATTCTTAGTTTTTTTCCCCTCATAATCAGTTGAAATTTTTTATCAAAAGTCATACATTCCTAGAATGATTTCATGTTTATGTATAGATATAATTACTGATGATATTACTTAATTCTCAAAGGTTCGTATTGACCACACTTCTCGGACACTTAGTTTTGGATCTGATTTGAATTATGCCACTCGAGAAGATGCTCCAATTGGTCCTCATTTGCAAAGCATGCCTTCAGAACAGATAAGAAATCAGCTGACAGCCATGTCCTCAGTACTTGCAAAGGCACTTGAAGTCATTAAGCCAGCTCATATATTGCAAGAGAAAGAAGAACAGCATCAGTTGGCTGTTACTGCATACCTTAAAAATTCACGAAAAGAGCATCAGCGTATCCTGGCTCGCCGTCAGACAATTGAGGAAAGGAAAGAGCGCCTTGAGAGTCTGAATATTCAGCGTGAGAAAGAAGAATTGGAGCAGAGGGAAGCTGAGCTCCAGAAAGTACGGAAGGCTGAAGAAGAGAGGCTGCGACAGGAGGCAAAGGAGAGGGAGAAGGAGCGCATCCTACAGGAACATGAACAAATTAAAAAGAAAACTGTCCGTGAGCGTTTGGAGCAGATCAAGAAAACAGAACTGGGTGCCAAAGCATTCAAAGATATTGATATTGAAGTATGTAGCACATTCCTTCTTAACAACTTTAATCTGAATCTCAGAAGCATGGTCTTTTACCGTTTATGGATTACTTTGGGTTGTCTGGTTATTTTCACTCCCTTTGGTACAGCTGATTCATTAACTGTAATCTATGAAGTAAACATTTGTTTTTAATGGCTCCGCAGTTTTTAACCGTTGTTAAAATGGAGTTGGGTACATGCAGTTTAGAGGAATGAGAAGTAGATGTTAAGGTCATGTTGTTTTCCCTACATGGAAGTGGAAATACGGCTATTGTAAAGCATTTTTACGTTGCCTTAAGTTTACCAATTGTGAGCATTTACTCATTGTGTAGAAAGTAATTTAGGTTTTGATTTTAGAAAAATCACATTTCCATACACATTTCTCTTATATTCTTACTAGTGATTGTGCATTTGTAATACTTCTCAGGATCTTGAAGAATTGGATCCGGATTTCATCATGGCTAAACAGGTTGAACAACTGGAGAAAGAAAAGAAGGAACTTCAGGAACGCCTGAAGAATCAAGAAAAGAAGGTAGATGAAAGAACTGGTTGGTAAACTTTTATCATGCCAGGTTAACAAATTTTTTTTAAACTACATTTGTTTTCATGTCATTCAGATTGACTATTTTGAAAGAGCTAAACGCCTGGAGGAAATCCCGTTGATAAAGAGTGCTTATGAAGAACAGAGGATTAAAGACATGGATCTGTGGGAACAACAGGAAGAAGAAAGAGTAAGGTTTTTGTTTAACTGTAACATTTGTAGACTGTAAACTATAATTGCATCCTCTGCCAATAATTGGGCCATGGTTTCAAAACTGATTATTTTGTGTTCCTTTGCCAGGAATGGTGCTTTAATGGCTGTGTACCAACAGATTGGTGGGCAGATAGAAATTTTCACAATAGAGATTAAAAAATGAAACTTGTAAAATACAAAGGGCAGCTGAAAAGTTCACTAAAAAAAAGAAACAACCCAGCTTTATGGGGATATAATTCACATGCCATACAGTTCTCCCATTTAAACTGTATAGTTCATGGTTTTTAGTATATTTACAGAATTGCACAGCCATTTAATTTTAAGATGTACCCCAAAAGAAGCTCCATACCCATTGGTAGTCATTCCCCGTTTCCTCCCCCACCACTTTGGCCTCCTACGATCAGCAATCTCCTTTGTCTTTGTAGATTTGCCAATTTTTTAGACTTTTTATATAAATAGAGCCACACAATACATGGTCTTTGTGACTAGGCAGTTGCTTCTGTAGTTTTGTTAGTATATATTATATTTACCTAATTATTCAAAAGCAAGGTTTGCAAATGCGTGTAGTGGCCAGATTTGTGATTAAAAACTAGTGGCTCTCTCTGGTTAAAAATAAAAAGTAACTACAGATAGCACATCTGTGGGGACTGGTGTGGGGAATGCAGCCTCTTGGTTGCATTGGAGTGTTGTCATTCTGGGCTTCGTTTGCCAGTTCCTCCCATTTTTTCAGAAGTTAGAATTTTTGTGGTAATATGTAAAATTAGGGAACCAAGAGTGTAGACCAAATAAAGTACTTGAGATGATCTGCTGTAGTCTTTGCCCTGAAGCCTTCCTTTTTCCCTTGGAGTGCAAAGGGAAAAGCCTCCTTAAACCAGTAGTGCACGCTACTTTAGCCTCCAGTTTTCTTTAAGGGAGAAAATATCTTACCGTTAAACCATAGTGCTTATTGCTTCTGAGGTATTTTATTTTACTGTATACGTTACAGTTTTTCTTTTATAAAAATTTGTAGTACTTTTGGGCCTAAATAAAAAGTTTCTTATAGATGCCCCTCAGGACTCCTTTATCCATCTTCTGTCCCCGATTGCCTTTCTAGGAACATGTGGGCATAGATGATAGTAAGTCTTCCATGTTTATGGCAAGATGGAAAGGGCAGAGGAGCTGCTTGTCACTCTTCAAGAATATCTGTCAGGAATTAAGAGTTAATTAATCAGATAATGAATCCTTTGAAATTTAACTTCATATTATGTATTTGCAGATTACTACCATGCAACTAGAACGCGAAAAGGCTCTTGAACATAAGAATCGAATGTCACGAATGCTTGAAGACAGAGATTTATTTGTAATGCGACTCAAGGCTGCACGACAGTCTGTTTATGAGGTGAAGTTACTGATTTCACGGAAACATTTATTCATGAGCTTTTTAGTTTTGCCTTAAGGTTCTTCTTTAACACAGTGGTATATTCTGTCTTGACCCTTTGTAATGATCATTCGAGTAATATTTCAGTAGAAACGTTCTTGAAAACATAGGCTATTAATCAGTCAGCCACGCTATAAACAAATTTTTCTGAAGGTGAAAGTGGACTGCATCAGATTTACTTTTGTTACAAGCTTTTGTTTACTGTTTGATTTAGAAAGGTCAAAGTGTCTTGCTCTTAAATTCTAATTTAATCCTTCGATTTGTTTTATATAGCAAACCCACTAGGTGTAGAAAATAGCTGTCAACAAATTAAAATGTAAAAAATTTTACATGAAAAAACTCCACAGTCATTTGGAAATTTTTAAAGATTTTATTTATTTATGGAGGTGGGGGGTAGAGAGAATCTCAGGCAGGCTCCACACCCAGTGCAGAGCCTGACATGGGGCTCAATCTCGACCTTGAGATCATGACCTGAGTTGAAACCAAGAGTCAAATTCCCAACGGACTGAGCCACCAGGCACCCCCATTTGGAAGTTTTTGTACTTGAAAGCTGCTTCTGTGGTTTCAAGAAATTTGCAGCACTCTGGTAAACTTCAAATTTAATTAGTCCATAGCTCTTCAAAATTTTTGATTTGTTTTGTTTTGTTTTGTTATACATTCTGTTAATAGGAAAAGCTTAAACAGTTTGAGGAGCGATTAGCAGAAGAAAGGCATAATCGCTTGGAAGAACGTAAAAGGCAACGTAAAGAAGAACGCAGAATAACCTACCATAGAGAAAAAGAAGAGGAGGAACAGAGGAGGGCGGAAGAACAAATGCTAAAAGGTATCTATAGACCAAGATTGGAGGTAGTATAAGGCAAGGTTGATATTCACTTTATAGCAGTCATATTCAGGGCACCTGGGTGGCTCAGTCGGTTAAGCATCTCACTTCAGCTCAGGTCATGATCACAGGGTCCTGGGATCAAGTCTCACATCCAGCTCCCTGCTCAGTGGGGAGTCTCCTTCTCCCTTTACCTCTGCTCCTCCCCCTGCTCATGCTCACTGTCTCTGTCTCTGTCAGATAAATAAATAGAATCTTTAAAAAAAAATTTAAATATAGCAGTCATATTCAGAAAATACAGGAACAAGGAACCAGGATCATTGGCTTCTTTTTTTTAAAGATTTTATTCATTTGTGAGAGAGAGAGAGAGCGTGTTCACAAGCAGGGGAAGCAGCAGAGGGAGAGGGAAGCAGGCTCCCCGCTGAGCAGGGAGCCCGATGCGATGATGCGATGACATGAGCTGAAGGCAGACGCTTAACCGACTGGGAGCCACCCAGGCGTTCTGGATCATTGGCTTCTTAACTGCAACTAACTAGAACTTAGTTTTTAGTTGCCTGAAGTTTGTTATAGGTGAGGATGTTATTTCCTCTACCAGCTTATTTCCATATTTTTGGTGTTTCTTAAAAAATAGTATCACTTCTTGATTTTTATCACTGTATTTTATGTAATAGTAATATTTATTGAGAAACAGTGCCAGATGAAGTCTGTCAAATGATTCTTTATCTGGAAATCGCAGATGTTCAGGAGTTGGGGAGGGGTTCAGGTATCTTCTTATCATTACAAAACTATTCATGTTGAGTGGCATAATACTTGTTTTACTTGAATATCTTCTGCCCCTTAGCTGATATAAACTACTTAAAATATAAAAAAAAATTTTCCTTCTACTTTATGCTGCCTGTTCAATACCAGCAAACTAGACCTAGCAAGAGCGGAAAGACGCAGGTAGAGGCATGCATACTTTATAACTCTAATTTGTTATACAGAGCGTGAAGAGAGAGAGCGTGCCGAACGGGCCAAACG